TGTCTCTCATAGTTGAGGTATACCTATGATGAAAATTACAGGCCTCTCTCATCTTTTTAAGTGGGAGAACTTGCACAATTGGTGGCTGACTAAATACTTTTTTGCCCCACTGTATATACGCATAGCGGAGTTAGCAAATGTAATATTTCCTATGGTAGTTCCCCACTTCTTAAAAATGCTGTACCAGAAATCAGACCTTATTAAATAGAATAATCTGTAGTGTAAGAGGCTGACAGAAAAGGGAAAATTTGTAAAATTGGACATGGCCATTAGGAGTATCGTTTAGTACAAATTTCTGAATAAGACATAAATAAATTATATAGCTTGCTAAGTGAAAGTTTAAGTTTTCATTTTTAGCTAAAGCATCAAAGGAACCAACTCACACAATAACTTTTCATATAATGCAAACAATTATGTCATCCTGTTTTTATAGTGCTTTCTTTCCATAAGAATAGTTAACACTACAATTAAAATTATTATTTTTAGTGTTTAACACTAAATATTTTCAGTATTGTGGCTCTATCAAAACCTATAAATTTTAGTAGTGTAGCTATTCAATCTAAATTGCATGATCACTTTCCCAAGTACTTTTATCAATAAAACCAACAAAATAAGAATGGGTTTCATCACATTAAAGTATTATTTTTAAAAACAGAACATTTCTATTCATTACCTTATCAATGGCTGGTGAAGAGCAACTAAAGAGGCATGCACTATAACAGAGATGACAGAGAGGTGAAAGTAATCAAACATAACATTGACATAGTGATGAAGGCCTCGGTGTAAAGTAAAGTGCAACTTTAGTGTTCGGCTGCTAATTAGCTGCAATGTGCTCAGGTCCTCTGGCCTAAATGAAAAAGAGTATAAACAGGTAAAAAAAATGTGTTATTGACCTAAAAACAAGAATACAAAATAATTAAATTATTTTGAAAATAATTTAATGCTAGTTTAAGAATCCAAGAATACAAAGCAATGATTGAGATCTTCTGTAACATATAGTTTTAGTAAAGACATCCATTTTCATTTGATAATTTGTTTAACATCAGACCTTTCAGTAATCTTCCTATGAGATCATTAGAAGGCGCCATATACAAGGAAGATTAAACAAAACCATGCATTGAATAACCAGATGTAACCTTCAATGAAAGCAATATGATGTCATATATGGAAATACACAATAATAATGTATACTGTAATAACAAATATAAAACACATGGAAATGTATTTACACATATACACACAAAGTATATAATAATAAATCCAAAATCAAGCAAAAAAGGCAATCCCAGCACTAATAACTAGAAACACTTTAGTTTTGATACATATATTCCATCACAATAATTTTTACAATGTATAATTATATCAATTTATATAGCCCAATTTAGAAGAATTAAAAATCCATAATGGATCTAAAAATACACAACACTAACTTTTCTAATATTTCAATATTAAGGGCAGTTCAATAAAAGAATGAGTTCAGTGCTTACAACTTTCTATGAACAGTGAGCAAAAAAAGAATTCCATGTATACATTGATGCACATAGTGTGTACAATGTTACACACAGAACTCCATCTGAAAAATATAAATACTCAATGTAATTGTACCAAGACTAATATGTAACTTAGCTCTAAACTTACGAATAATCTGTATCTGTGAAGTGCAGATCTAAAGATAGCAGGAAATTCATTTCATTAAGAGACTCTTCAATCTAGGAAAATAAAATAGTTACACAAACTATGGTTTACCATGCATTCCCATGTTGAAACAATATTTATATATTTCTCTTCATTTGTTCGCAATTATAAAGTTGTTCACAATAAACTGAAATACTGTAATAAAAAATGTTACTATGCAGAACAAAACAGCATATAGAAAAGCAAACAACAATGCTTTTAAATGCTACAACTGCAATTTAAAAAATTTGAGTGAATAAACACTGGATTTTAAATGCAATATTATTTGTACAAAATGGGCCTATGTGTTTTAAAGTTCTATATAAACAGTATGCTGTTGTGTTTGCTTCAGTAATCCAGGGCTGTTTTTTTGCTGGCTAGCCAGGGAACATAAATCATTTACAACCAGGATGTATGGCATGGGGCCAGTCATTCTCATTCCATGCCGAAAGAACCAAACTGTCCATATGGGCAGGTAATTTGTCAATGGAGCACCTATGGGTCCATTGGCTCAATAGCCTAGAATACAAAAGAAAAATAAAGAACAGATGAACAATTGCCTTGATGTGTGGATCCTGAAACAACACTTACCAAACATCCCAATTCTTCTTACAGAGCTGTGACTGCAAGGATAAGGTAGTCTCTAGAGATAATGAAAGGAATGGATCCAACAAGAGCCTGAGAAGCTGAGCTCTGGAGGTCCATTTGCACTTTCGGATCCTGCCCTTTCAGGTTTCCAAAGAAAAAAGATGGGTGTGCACTCCCTACAAGTATGCGTGATTGTGTCATAGCTAAACATCCCCCTATTCAACATCTCAACCATACAGAGGGAACAGGATTAACTACAGGTAGTCCTCCCTATCTAACTGTTCGAAATGACTGAAAAAACTGGATTTACAATTTTCCCATTCTCACGATCCTTCAGAAACCTGGTCTTGCAGAATGGGACAGTCCAGGGAAGGGAATTTGAGGTGTGGCTTCCAGAAGGTATAGGACATATGGCTTCAGGAAGCAATGGGAGGAGGGGAATGGGGTGAGGTTTAATGAAGGAAAGAGAGGCCAGGTGAGGAATGAGGCCAAAAGGGCACAAATGGGGGAGAGATAGGCGGGTGGGGGGAGTTGCAGCACCCTTGCAGTCATAAGTGCGGGCAAGCTACCAAGTGCCCGAATTTTGATCACGTGATTGCGGGGGCCCTGCAATGGCCAGTACAGGTTGTAAGTCCATTTTTTCAGTGCCACTGTAATTTCAAACGGTCTCTGAACAAATGGTCAGATAGCGAGGACTACCTGTATATGTTTCCAAATGCAGGGAAGTCACCTATAGTGGCAAGGATAACGAAAAATACATGTCACTCGGTGAAAATAAGGCACACAATAGTAACTGTAGTTTACTATAGAATTGTGTATGTAGAATAAATGACACCTTAATGGACCTGAAACCATTTTTCTTGGAACTTCTATATGCTAATATAGCAAAAAAACAAAACAAAACCCTGGACCTACAGCTTTGAGGCATATGACTTGATATTTCAGTCTTTCCTCACAAGAGTTAAACAAAATCAAACATTGTTTTAAAAAAGATAAACTGTAGTAATTACTTTTAACCTTGGATACTAAAATGTCAATATTTCCTGTTAGATGAGGTAAATACAAGAACTGTTCAAATCACAGGAAAACAGCAGTTTTCAAAAGGAATTTCAAAAGAGAACACAATGCTCTAGACAGACCACAAAATGGTATGCTACAATAAAAAATAACTGACAATAAAATTCTATCTAAATCACAAAAGATTCTAAACAGAAATAATTTATTCATACACAATCTGAGATATGCATTAAAGGCTGAAACACCCAACTTTATTAACTTGCATGGAGAAATAAAAGACAGGAAAGTTACACTGCACAGAAAAATAAGTATTAATATTTTAATGTGTATTCCTTCCTACACTTGTACACACTACTTCAGAAATAGTCCGAAGGAGCATCTGTTCCTCTGCTTCAATTTCCTTGGACCTTCCTTTTTCCTGGAAATTCCACCCTTTAATCTGAGGCTCTGGAGAACAATGTTAACCCTCTTTTCTCAGCCTTGATAAGTAACTTATGCACTGATTTTAAAAGGAATCAAACTTTCTATACATAAAAGAGAGGGAAGGGTTAGGTTATTTTTCTGTATACGTGAAAGAACCCTCTCTCGTAAAAATGTTTATTGGGAAAGTCTGACAAGCAGGCTCGCATTCGTTAACAGGAAAGTCTCTGGGTAATGGTATGCTTAGGACAGAGAGAGATTCACATTCTAACCATCTGGATAGAACTCTGTTATCAGTTAAGAGAACAGTCTCTACACCAGTTTACATAGGGCCCATGAATAAGAGACTAAAAGTATCTTTGCCTTAGGAACCTTGAAAATAAATTAAATTCTAAAGGGGGAAAACAATTCAGTTGTTGAGATTTCTTATCCACTAAGTCTTGGTAAAGGACTCTAGAAGGATCCTGCTTTCTGTGGAAGTGGGTTAGCCAAGAATTTGACATTCTGGTGAATTATAAACTGTTATTGATTCCCAAAAGTATGCTTATACATATATACAGGAACGCTGTGCATGCTGGGTAAGATAACATCATCAGGTCATCCTAATTTCTACAGTATCTTGGCTTGCTGCTTCTCTGCAAAGAAAGAGCACTGGGGTGCAATACCCACTGGGATGCTTATTTATTGGTTTAAAATATTTGTCTACTCCCCACTCACCTAACAGCTTTGAGCTTCCTAAATACTTCGGTTGGCTATTGAGTTACACAGATTTTTGGAACTGATGGCCCATTACTCTTCATTTATCAGGACTTTTCTTACATTCTTAGCAGCCACCCGCACAGAATAATAATAACAACAACAACAATTTCAATAAATGCCACTGTTACCTTTCTTTCATCCAATAGCATTTTAATTTTGAAGATCATTGCATCGTTCACACAGACCTCTTCATTTTTGTAGAGAATCTGAAATGTTTTACTGCAGACTACATTGTCATGGACAGAAGCTGGGAAGGCAAGATCAGCACCTGAAAATAAGAATATTGGTAAGCAGCCATTATGGTTCAAAATGTATTCCTACTCACAAGCTGATAACTGAGATTTTTTTATTTTAAGATTTTTTAAAACAACTAGATATGTTGTAATACATTCTTTTGCCATTCTGATATAATATAGTCAACATATAGCCATTCAAAAACATAAAAAACTGATGTTGACCACTTAAGGAATAGAATTCTTAATTAACTTCATGGACATGTAATTAATACTTGCAAATCAACTCCAGCTCCCAGAATAAATGTCAACAGAATACATAAAACCAATGATGTCAATGAACAATAACAATAAAAAGGAAAATGTAGCAGAACCAGAGCATACCATAAAAATCAATGCAGCCATTGCTACAAGCGTGTGTGCATGCACATGGTAAGTGTCCATTATATCTTTAGGGACTTCTTAAACCCTTATTAAATTCATCAATATTATTATTTCTGATTTGGTCTGAAGTGAAGTTCTAGAAACATGCAAGGTATTTTGAATTCAAAATGCCTTGCTATTTCGACATCAAAAAGGATTGTTCTGACCTTACTTATCAGTATTCTGATGTTTTCCCAACAATACCAGAAGTATTCCAAGCACAAAATACTTCCAGAATGGAGTATTCTGGAAGAAACATGTTTTAGACTCTAAGCATTTAGAGCAAAGTTGTTTGCATACAACTATAAAATTCCTTCTGCATCTACAACATACAGTATAAGGACTGTAACAACCACTATGTAGGACAGATAGGCAGAAGGCTAGCAGAGCGCATCCATGAATGCCAACTAGCCGTCAGAAGACACGATGAAAACTCCTTAATCTCACAACACATGGACAGACGTAACCATAGTTCAACCGGGAAACTGTCAGCATCTCAGACCAAGCTAAATCCAAAAATGAGAGGGAATTCCTGGAAGCTTGGTATTCAGACAACGTAGCCATCAACAGGGACAGAGAGATAGACAACATCTACACACTATTCAAAAGAAACAATAAAAAGGAAACAAAAGACCAGAACATCTCCTCACCAGCAATCATCACCCAGATAAGCAGAGATTAACACCAAGATTATCACCAGACATACAATCAAGCAGTAAACAATACCTTCATCGAGGAACTACCAGGAAGAAAAAAAAATACAAACACAGGCAGGGCAAGCCACTGTACACAAACAGAGAGCAAACTCCACT